TTCTTACCTTAGACTCTTACCACCAAAAAATACAACAAGCAAACAATAAAAAGCATGACATACCTCGTTCTTATCCAACCCTCACGTCAAAAACAACAAAACAAAAAAAAAGCAAATAAGAAATGGCTTACCTTCTTACCTTAGAGCTCTCCAACAAAAAAAGAAAAAAAAGAAACAAAGAAAATAAATAAATGGCTTACCTTCTTTCTGACCTTAGAACCCGACAACTAAAAAATAAAACGAACAAAAAAAAAATCAAATAAAGAAATAGTTTACCTTTTTACCTTCGCGTTCTTAACCAGCCCACACGTCAAAAGAATCTTTATTGTTGTTCCATAACCAGTATTCATAAATATAGAAAGTTTGTATACTCATAGTAACATGATTAGGGGGTACGAAATTTTAGTAGGATTAACAAGGGTATCTTGATCGTCACCACACAAACCCGTGATCTTTACAAGAGTATATCCGAGCTCTTAAAATAATTGCATTAAATATATTGAAATACCTCCCAGAGGACATTCTTCGTAAAAAAAACCTGATTTTTCATGGCCATTTTGAGAATGTAATGCCCCATTTTAGCAGATCTCTCGTTTTAAAACATTTGTGGTGATATTGCCCATCGGACTTGCGTGAAAGAAATTGATAAGAGAGGATCAAAGCTGAACTAAGTTAAGGAAACACTTCCGGAAAATTTGAAAAGAGGTATGGTACGCAAGTGAACAGATACGCCAGAAAAAGATAAAAATTTTGAGCATTTACTGCGCTACATTCACTTGTCACTTTGGCACCCACGAATCTTCACAAGCGTAACTGGCAAATAAAAAGGGCAATATTTTTATAACGTGAAGTTTTCCTTTTACAAAACATTTTCCTAGCACTTCCTCGTCTTTTGTGCTTGTTTAATGTCTCACGTCCCAGAAACAAGAAAACCGTGAGTCTTTTTTTGTAAATGTTCTATTACTTTGCCAAGCTATTTATATACTAACTCTTCGCGACCTTTACAAAGCTACACAAAAAAAAGCTGAAGAATGTCAAGATTGTTTAACTACTACTATATATGGCGAAACATATTTGGTCCCAGAAAAAGTTAAAGCCAGAGGTTTGATCTAAACAAGTAAGTGATTTATCAACTTTATTTTTTTGATCTCTTTCTTATGTTCCTCTACTACAGATCAATTGAAGAAGAATCAGATTGGCCACGGAATGGTTTGATAGAACAACAAATGAGAAAGGATTTCGCACTATGTTCAAGGAATTTATCGATCAATCGTAAGTTGGCATCTTTTTACAAAACGAAATCACAAGTAGAAATTAATACCATAGTCCGCCACGATTTGTAAATAAAAGATCGAATTTTTCGAATTTTGATGATTTGGATGATTTCCCAAAGAAAGAAAAGAAGGGAAATAAGAATAATAAAAAGCTATCAAAAAAGGTATTTTGTTTTTTTTTTTTTAATTTACTTATGAAGTAACTGATATTTAGTGAAGATGTCGTTGACTCTTTTTTACATTCAGAAAATTCGTTCTTTAATGAACAAAGCTTCATATCTTGTGGGCCGTACAATCGAACTTTAAGAAAATTATATGTCAAAGTCGTTGCCGTAAAGACGGTGTATTTTTGGAGGTGGAGGAAAAAGTGGGAGATAAATTGGAATATTATGAAATTATGTATCAGCAATATTTTTTCAATCGGCGTAAACAACCTTGATATAATTCGGGTCATGACATTATGGTATAGCTGGTTACAGTTGCAAATCTGCTAATTAAAGTTTTAAATAGTAACGGTACAAGTGTTATTTTTTTACAATATTTTAGAATTCTTTTTTATAGACATAAACAATAAAATTGATGACAATTATATGAAATAATTATTGAAAATTAATATCGATATGGGAAAGTTATTATTATTCATTACGCGATTAGAAATTATTTTGGTGGTTGATAAATTAGAAATTGATCTAAATACACCCAAATATGGTATCGGAAGTTTTAACTTCTAAAATATTCTAGAAGAAATACAGTGGTAATTGAGAAGAAGACAAATGGTGCACATAAGATAATTCGATTTAATCAATATCGTTTAGTTATCGTGTGTTTACTGCGTCTATAAATTCGTTAAGCAAAATATTAAATTTGTAACCGTTTTATTTAAGAAAAAATAATATAATTTATATAATTCTGAAAAATTTGTTACAATAAAAAGATTATTCAAAAAATTTCATCTATATCAATTTCGGGAATTCATTACTAAGAAATATTAAAATATCTTATACCCGAACTAGTCCAATATATGGTGTAATACTTTAATATAAATTCAATTTGTTTAATGGCCAGTTAGTAAAAACTTTGTCTTTGTCAAATTGCTAATTTTTCAAGTGCTCCCAAAATAGTTTCTGCCTTCTTCTTAATTTTTTCATAATCGAGTTCATAATCGTCATCTGGTGTAATTTCATCTCTTCCTTCGAACGATAATGGAATGTAACCTTCAGCCAGTTCAAAAAATTCTGCAATTTGATTATATTCTTCTCTTCTATAACTGTTTTTATCATTCAAGTAAACTTTTAAATATCGTCTAAGTAAATCGTCCCTTTCCCCTTCCGAGTTGGCAATTTCATCAAGGATATCTTCATATACCGTAAGTACAACTGCACGTAATTTGAATGGTGACTTCGTTACATACTTATATTGAGCATTACTTAGTTTCCATCCGGACCATAATTGATAATCTTTATCTCCTCCACGATAAATTATGACACATTGGTGAGATGCAAGATTAACTACAAAGTATGCATCTTGATACTTAAAGCTTCCACTATAAACATTGCTTAAGTTTCTGTGAATAAACTCTTGAAGGGTTTTCCTTGTTTTGATTATTCCAACGGTCATTTTCGGTAAATCCCCAATGAACTTTGTGTCTATCAAATAAATGTTTCAATCCAGGAAGTAAATTAACCCGATTTTCATCAAAGTATGTAAATGCAGGATTGTATACATTGGCATATGAATAAGTTTTGTATACTCCGTAATATTCATAGGTATTTAGCCTGATCTGATTCATTCCAGAAACGGTTCCAATCCAATAACTGCCAGAATATACATATCGACCGTCAGGAAGAGTCGACCTGTTGCCATGATTACCTATATAGAACCAATGCCCGTTGAGGCATTCTTGATTTGATTTGTCATCGTCTTCATACAATCCAATCCAGTCCCAAGTAGATGGTGTAATTATTGACCAAGTAATTTCTAATTTTCCAGAGTTTATTATACAACTTAAGTAACATATTTCTCTTCTTCAGTTTCCGACATTATGTAGGTTTCTTTAGAGTAAAAAAAATAAGTTCGTTTGATATACCGGATCGCACGTCTTTAAATAAGCAAGGATGGTAATTTTGTTCTTAAAACTGCAGACAATATTATTTATTCATTTATTTATTAAACAAAGGTGACATGGAATGATAAAATACAAACAAGAGAAAAGTACCCTAAGTAAACAAAGTAACCCTTTTTATCACGATATTAGACTTCTGTTTAAAGCAGACAATGAGTATTTATTTAAAAAGGTGAAATGGAATGATAAAATACAAGCAAGAGAGAAACGTAACCCTAAGTAGACAAAGTAACCCCTTTATAAAGCAGACAATGATAAACTCTGAGAAACTACATAACAGTAAGTACGTCATCTTTCGCGGTATATCAATCGTGCGAAGTTGCAATAAGAACCGATCACTAAAAAAAAAGGGAGCGAATTCGTGATTACCTAATCAGTAAAATTACTAAAACGTCATCAACTCATTTATTTGAAATTCTCGAATAAATGTCGATCGATAAATTTTGTCGCGCGCTGGTTTAATAGATCATATAATGGTGCCCAAAGTCTAATACATATACCGCGTTAGAACATGTCTTCATCGGTGGCAAGTGTGAAGAAACTTCACGTCTAGCCGGTATGCTTCTAAAGTGTGAAGATTATCATATGGCACAGCATGTTACTTTATGTAAGCATAATAGATTAGCATCAGTAGTTGGATTGGTCAATGCATAATCTTACAATTGGACATTTTGGACATGATCCAAATGAACATATATGGCTTGCGTCAGGAAATTATTTTGAGAACGTCATAACATTGAGAAGTGCAGTAAATTAACTAAAATAGGAAATGATCTACAAATTAATGAGCCGAGCAGGGCCGATGATTTTAGATGTAATATAATATAAATTATTATTTGTTATTCTAAAAATTCATATTACAGTGGCGGTCAAAAGTATTGCATCACCCGAACACAAATTTTAAAATTGCAATTTCTTGACAATTAAGGCGGCGCAGTGTACAAAACTTTAGTGGTAAAAATTTCGTTACGCAGTGATGAAATAAAATTTTTTAAAATAATATTTTCTTTCGATCATGCGATGCTTTTCTTTTGACCGAATTTTATAAAATATTTTTATATAAATAAAAAAAAAAATTTATTATTTCAATTATAATAAAACTTTGGTAAAAAATTGTTTACCATCTTGTATAGCCACCATTAGCTCTAATTACATCATTTATACGAGTTGGCATAGTATCAACCAACTTTTTACATACATCGGACCCCAATTCAACCCAAATCTTTTGAATTGCATCCCATAAATGATCCTGTGTTCTAACAGGTGTTTCAAGCCGTCTCAAACGACGGTCCATTTCATTCCAAAGATGTTCTATTGGATTTAAGTCAGGGGACTGTGCTGGCCAATCAAGAACCTTAACCCTATTATCTTCAAACCATTGCTTTGTGAGATGTGCTGTATGTTTAGGATCATTATCCTGTTGAAAAATAATATTTTCCTTATCCATTCCATGCCACTTGATGGTTCCTAATAGGTCTTCCTTTAAAATTTGACGATATAAATCATCATTCATATGTCCATAAATTTGGCATGTGTTACCAACCCCATCAGATGTACAGTGCACAACGAAAGTTTCTGGAATTAAAATTTGATGTAAAAAATCACGATTTTCTCCCGCAATATGTAATCTATTAAATAACATTTTCACGTGACATCATTGCATTAGCCATTTTTAGATATTATGTAATGGGAAGGTACTGGGTCTTTCAACAGGACAATGACCCTAAAAACAAGGCCAAGAAAACTAAAAAACTTCTTTTTAAACGATGTCCGAGATTGTTAGATTGTTAGATTGGTGATCGAATAGCCTGGATTTTAATTTGAATAAGAATTTGTGCTCAATTTTGGAAGGGACGTTGAAAAAAGAGATCAACAATCTTGTAATTAATAAAAAATCAAATTACTATAGATGTTTTTATAAAAAAGTGTGAGAGGGAATCGAGCTCAGAATTCTTCTTAATTTGGTTCATAGCATACCAAAACCATTAAAACAAATAATTGAGGGGGATGGTAATAAGCTAAGCTATTGACTTAGCTTAATATTTTCTTTTCTTTATATAATAAAATATATAATTTTAAATTTTCAAGTATTTTTGAGTTGTTTTTGAAGTACAATAAATAAAAATGTAATTCTGAATACTTTCGTCACGCATTGTAAAATATCCTTACACTATAATATAATCTTAGACTAGAAGATAATGGAAAAATAAATCATATATTTTTACTGGTCTGATTAGAGTAAACAGTTATATATAACTCATTTACAGTTTCCGGTGAAAAGAATGGCAGAAAGTTTTTTTTGAATAATAAAAGTTTTTAATAAATAACTTTCAAAATTTTTTTATTCTCAAATGCTTTTGATTAA